GGGGAGGAAGGAGCCCGGGGCAGGACGCTTTTGGCGACCATGGGTGGACAGGTTACGGAGGGAGTGACCCCCCGTCCGCCGCGTCGGGACACTAGCAGACCCCGACACTTAGGGCCCAGGGCTGGGACCCGGAGAGAGGGTGGGACTGGGTCCCCCTCCCTCTCCTAGGGGGGCATCTCGCTCCTAACGACTATAGCAGAGGCGAAGTGCGAGTCGGAACCCTGAGAGAGGGGAAGGCTCGAACTAGGGGCTTCGGCCCCATCCCGCAGGGACGGGTAACTAGTTTGGGGGTTCACTGACCCCCCCCCTTCCACTGGGGAGGGGGTGATTGCACCCGAGGGTGCGGGCCCCAGAGCGGAGACCCAGGGCGCAGCAAAGGACCAGAGGAGGACGAAAGGGTCCGCAGACCCCCCCTCTCGGGCTGAGAGGGGGTGATCGCACCCCTCACACCCCTCCACACACAAACACCACGGCCAGGCAGGCAAGGGAAGTGTGTGGTCACAATGGGATCCCCTCATGGGCAGCAGAGGAGCTGGGGGCAACCTGGCCCTCCCTGGGGTCTGCACACACAGTTGCGGCTCGCTGTGCTGTCTATGGGAGTGGCTGCTGCCTTGCATGTGCAAGCATGCCTGTACAGCACTCCAGGGTGTGTGCGGGGTTGTGCCCGTGCCCTTGCAGCTAGTCTGCTTGCACCTGGGTGCAGGGCTGGACCGAGCCATTCCGGTGCCCCGGGTTGGGGGAGGGCGCATGCGTGGCCCCTGCCCCCACTCGGCACATGGGGGAGGGCGTGTGGAGCTGGTGGTGGCAGGACGCACATGTCCGGCCTGGCCCAGCCCAGCTACTGCTGCTGGCGCGCAGCCCGGGGCTGGCTGGGACCGACCGAACCTGACTGCAGGGCCCCGCGGCCGGATGGCCAGCGCTGCTGGGGTGAACGTGGCCCCTACCCCGGGCGGCAGCTGCAGGGTGGCCGCTGGGGGCTGCTGCAGCCCACGATCTGGGAGCCGGGCGCGTGGTGCCTGATGGCAGCTATAAGGGGCACTGTGCGCCCCTTACAGCTGCCATCAGGCGCCCCTCATAGGTTGGCACCCCGGGCAGCTGCCTGGCTAGCCCATGCCTTAATCCGGCCCTGCTTGGGTGCACCCCTTTTGCCCTTCGGGCAGGTGTGGAGTCCTGCCCCTGAGTGCGCCCTGCGCTCCGTGGCCTTCACATACCCCTGACGGAGTTCCTTCACCTCTGCCGGGATACAACCATAAGGGAGAAGATCTTCACGTTGCGGCACTTGGCCCGGGGATCCTGGAGCGAATCCTCCTCGCCCCACAATTCAAGGAGGGTCACAATCTCCGGGCCACTCCAGGTCGGGGCACGTCTTTTTGTTCCCCTGGGGGGGGGGGAGGTTCCTGGGACTGCTCCCTGGAAGGGCTAGGGGGTCTCCAGGAGCTTGCTGATTGGCTATTGTGGCTGAAGCAGAGCTGCGCATTGAAGGCCCATGCTCTCTGCAAACTTCCTGCCACAAGGCTTGTCCAGAGTGCCTGCAGCTTTAAGGGGGGCCAGCAGATAGCAACTATAGAGTTCTGATTAACTTGTTCTGATTAACAAGAGGCCACCTGTTTTTTTTCCTGGAGGCCAATGCTTGTGCAAAAAACCCCTGCTGCCCATCCACACACACTTTTTTGCACAAGAGCTCTTGTGTAAAAAGGAGTTATTCCTCGTAGAAAGAGGAATACCTACACTGCAAAAAGCCCTCTGTTCTGTCGATTCACTGTAAATTTACTTACGCAAAAACGCACTTGATGTGTGGATGCGCTGCGGGTTTTTGTGCAAAACCCCTGTAGTGTAGACGTAGCCTCAGAGTGCAAAAAGTACTCTTGGTGCTCTAAGCAAAATAAACTGTTTTCTGCTTCTTGATTCCTTCTGTCTTCAGAGATACAGGACTTTGCACATTCTTTGTAAATAAAAATTCATCAAAGAAATAGCTAATTCTCACCAACTTCTACTTCCAGCTCAAACACTCACAGGAGGCAAAACTTTGACTAGCCACTTGACCTGAAAAGACAATACTTGGATAAGTGTAAGTGCTTTAATTGCCATAGCCTATATTAAAATTATAAATTAGTTATCAAAAGAGTGAACTTTTATGAGAGGTAAAGCTGGTTATGATTATTAGTTTCAGTGAAGTTTAGTATCTGTTCAACTGAGGATTCAAATGAAGATCTGACAATATACTATTGATCACCCTACCTTACTTCTCTTAGCATTACAAATACCTTACATCTCTTAGGTTACGCATTAAATAACAGATAGTAAGCCCTGTTAATTGCTAGTGTGTTCTGACCTTAGACTTTGCCCAGGTATTTAATAACACCATCTGCTGTCTACGTCTGTGCCTGTGGTACTGTTATTTTTGCATAAGGATTATCTACTTTCTTCATAAACAAGGCTGTAATAACAGTGCTAACTGGTAGCAGAACTAAATGAGATTTAAGTTATACCATCCAAGTAAAACAAAAATGAAGACCAGAACACCAAAAACATGTCAATCTTATTTTACTGTCTTAAATTTAAAAATACTAATTTGCTAAAAGATGCAGATTAAGTCTTGCTGCTCTCTTATTTAGGTAAAAGTTTGCCTGAGAGAGGACTGTGGGTGAAATTTACTCCTGTGCAGGGTGCCAGCACAAGTCTTTTGTTACTTGAGCACTCAAGATATCCACTGTCCAAAGGTCAGTCTAAGTTCACCCTGGAGGATTAGCCCTTTATTGTTTGTTATTTGCCCCCTCCTCTCAAAAAATGTAAACAATATCATCTTTAAAAAACATTGCTGAATGTTTTAGGACACAAATAATCACTTGAAGTTCAAATATTCCTCCTAATTATATCTATAATGGAATTTGGTTTGTTAAAATGCATGTATTTAGCTTTTAATGATCAAATATATTATAGCCCACATATGCAAAGGCTCCAATTCAGCTCCCATTAAATCTGATGGGACTTTTGTCACAGCTGTCAGTAGGGGCAGAATCAGGCATAAAAAGAACTGTCCATTTATCTGTTGCTTCAGGGTCTTATATGTAGTGTTGCCAGCTCTCAGTTTTATTGCACATTTCACAATACTTGGGAATTTCCTTAAAACCCTCATTTGTGGAGTGAGACATTGACCCTACTGAAGTCAATAGCAAAACTCGCTTTGACTTCAGTGGCTCAGACGTTCACCCTTCAATTGAGTGATTTTTGTGAGAATCCCTTTTTGTTTTGCTTAAATAAAAGCTGAATATGTCTAGCCTTTATAGTTGTGGAGAAAAGTTTAAAACCTTAACAGGTTTAAAAAACAAAGCAAATTAAAAAAAAAGAGAGATGATTTATTTTTAAACTCAATCTCAAGGGCTACGTCTAGACTGGCATGATTTTTCGAAAAAGCGCGTCTAGATTGGCAGGATGCTTTTCCGGAAAACCACTTTTTCCGGAAAAGTGTCCGTGGCCAATCTAGATGTGCTTTTCCGCAAATAATCCCCGATGGCCATTTTCGCGATCGGGGCTTTTTTGCGGAAAACAAATCTGAGCTGTCTACACTGGCCCTTTTGCGCAAAAGTTTTGCGCGAAAGGACTTTTGCCCGAATGGGAGCAGCATAGTATTTCCGCAAAAACACTGACAATCTTACATGAGATCGTCAGTGCTTTTGCGGAAATTCAAGTGGCCAGTGTAGACAGCTGGCAAGTTTTTCCGGAAAAGCGGCTGATTTTCCGAAAAAACTGGCCAGTCTAGACACAGCCAAGATGTTTAGGGAACCTGAATGTTTTGTCATTGGCAATACTGTATATTGGTGCATATCACTGTAGTATCTCTCTGTGGGTGCACTGTAATAGTGAATCATGCATCCCCGTCAGTTTTATTTGTGTGGAGACCTACTAAAAGTACTTTGCCATTTTTACTACTGAAATGGAGAGGTTAACTTTTAAAACCAAACATATGAATGTAATCAGGAGGGTATGTAAAATATGGGGCTGAACTATTTGATAGCATTTGAAAGAGGCATGTCTTGACATGTTTTCTATTAGAAAAGATTTTAAGCATTACAGTTTGTCAAATGAGGTATCTGGTTACATCTGAAAAGGGTTTCTTACCTTTTCCTCCTGCTGATGGAGGCATCTAGAAGTCTGATTATGAAGCCTTAACGTACAGACACATTGACTTATTTTATAAATATGTGAAATTATGTATGTCTGCTTTTTTTTCTCTGTAGTTGCTAGTTTTGGGAGAAGAGTTGAAAAAAACAACCCCAAAACAGATGCTTAACATATTTACTCTGCCTCAGATTCTGAATCAAAGAAAACTGTAAGTATATTTATATGTATGTTAACTTGCCACAATTCAAGTACACTAACAGAGCATGTTATGATAGGTTTGACATTTATAAACAGAGTAGCTATAATTTTCATAAATGTTACATTTTTTTAAAATTACAAGCAATATATACAATCTAGATAGAATTTATTTCTAAAAATATCTATCACTTTGTATATTCTGCATACAATTTACCTCTTGTACATTTTCTTTTCAACCTATTCAGGAGACATATTACACTATCTTTAAGTAACTAGAAACCAATGTAGAGATGCAAACAGTCTTGGAACACATTTCCACACCTTGCTGATCAATTCAGTAAAAAGTCTGCCCACGTACGGAACTTTTTTTGTTCTTCTCTCATTAAATAAAAAAGAACAGTGATTGTATTAATATGCTTCTTTCCATCTTATGTTCTTATATGGTTCAGAGGGCTGACATTCATTATGTGAGCCACTATAATGTATATGATATATTTTTCAAAGTTACTTAATGAAGGTTGGATTCTTGATGACATAGTTCTCCCTAGGCACATACATGCACTACAAACAGAAATTTAGACATGGTAGGCAAGGATTCCAGTTCTAGCCAAGTAGACATGATGTTCTCAAATGCTGTGATGACCTATTACCTACTTAACCTTTTGACCTCATGTTGAATGACATTGTTTCTGATCTCACTGGGCCAAATTCACTCCTCCAATTAGCTTCAAAAATAATACTGAAGTCCAATAGCTTCAATGGAGTTACACTATGAAGAATGTTGACCAATGTATTTCAGCAGTTTCACTAGGTCATAGGTACCAAATAATAAGAGGTTCCCTCTTCCCCACTCCTCCCTAGCAGCACACTAAAATGATGATGGCCCTCACCATTGGGATATTCTGGGAGGGGGAAGGACTTTGTCTCTCCTGTTGAACCTGTTCTGCTTTGAATAAACATTAAGCATTTAAGGTTGCCAACTTGGTTGGACTGGATGGACCAGGCACCATTGCAGCAAATAGTGTCTGGTCCATCTGGTCTGGGAGAGATGGCAACCCTATGAGCATTGCAACTTCTGAGTTACAGGCCAAGGTGCATCGCGAATGAGCTGGGGGAGCAGAAAAGAGAGTCTTATTGTGAAGACAACTAAATGCTGCCCTGGAGAAGTGGATTCTATCACTATCCCTACTGCTGTTGCTTCCCACCACTCCCGTTGGCCAGGAATGCTAATCCGCAACCAACAGAAGCTGCAATCGCTGGTACCTGTGGAGGTACTAGGGATGTGAATAGGTAACTGGTTACCCAGTAAGCATCACTCTTATCAGGTGATGTTTACTGGGTAACAGTTACCCAGCACTTGGGAGCAATCCTACCAGGCCCACTACGCCACAAGCCGGGGTGGGAGCCAGCAGCCCCACATGGGGCTGCCAGAGCCAGGAGAGGGTCAAGGGGGCTGGTGGCAGTCCCCTGCAGGATGATGTCCGATGGGCTAGCAGCTACCCCTCCCATTCCGCTTAATCGGTTAAATTTAAGGTTTTACCGATTAACTGATTAAACAGGATGTTATGTCCCTAGGAGGCACAGGTAAATATAGCAGTGGCTAGGGGCTGATGAACCACCGCTGTTTTATTGCCCACCCCTGTTGTAAACTATGCTCTTGGGCAGCTACCCAGGAGAGATTCAGGTGCCACCCAGCTGATTAGCAGAGCACATACAGCTGCCCACAGCCAGCAGCATGTATTTCTACCGGTGGTACACATCCTCACATGCCTCAGGGTACATGACAAATTTATTCCATACATGGAGGGTTTTTTTGCCAGTTCTGGCAGAGCCTTTCTGCATGACCTTGACTGAGTCACTTAATTTCCCTGTGCTTCCATTTCCTTATCTGTAAAATGAGACTAAGACCTTCCTACCTGGCAGGGCATTATGCAGCTAATTGCATTATCATTATTATATGATTATGTATTAGTAAAATACATAGAGTGAGGTGCAAAATATCAATAATTATCATTCTTAATTTTGAATGTATTCATTATAATTCCTAGCAGTAGCCTCCTTCCAGTGGTCAAAGTGAGCAAAAAGACTTAGCTGTGGTGGGTTGGATTTTTTTAACTGGAAAAAGCTTGATGGAAAGAATGAAGTAGTGGCTGTTCTCAGAGATGTGAAATATATAATTAATAATGTATCATTAAATATCTTACCTGTGGAATGTTTTTTCCTATCATTGTTGCACACATTATGTAATATTCCTGAAAAAGAACAGGGATAACAATTCTCCTTTTTAAATTGTTTACTTTGTCTACTTGACAGCACTTTGGATAAAATTTTCAAAAGCACCTAGCTGTTTTAGAAGTCTAAGCCTCACTTATGCACATAGGCCCAAATCCTCTGAGGATGTAAGTGGTGCTTAATTTGTAATGAAAGATGTGCTGGGGCACAAGCAACTTTTTTTACATTTATAATTGATGCAGCAAGCGAAGAGATGCCAGCAGTACAAACTGCCAAACCTAGAGGTGCCAGGGCTCAGCCCTGGCAAAAATTAAGCACTCTATGTAAGCGTCTAACTCCCATTGATTTCAATGGGCAAAGAAAAACCAACATTTCAACAAACAGAAAAATGTGATTGTAAAAACAGAAAAATTGGCAGGGAAAAACAAGGTCAAGGGTAGTAACTGAAACTAAAATTTTCTTTTAATTAGACTGGCTTTCTTTCTGATGGTGTTTCACTGAAAGCATTATACTGCATGCTACATATGAGTCTGCCCATATATAGATGCCTTTGGGGAAAATGTTCATTGCAGCTGCTCTGCTATGGAACTGACAACCAGCTCAACTCCATTGCTGCTGGGGGATATTTGCAAACAGCTTTAACGGTTCTGGCACAGGTCTTGAAAAGGTTTTGGCCTTGGCTCAGAGATTTTAGACTTTTATTATACGTGAAGGTTTTTCCTCAAAAAAGGCCCACATGGATACAGTATTGCAAACCCAGGAATATACTGGAACAAACTGCTCCTAGATAGTGTATTAGTTTTGGTTGAACATAATCAGCTTTTAGATTTTCCATGACTCCAATTAAATGGATTCTGCCTTTTCCTTTTAATAATTTCATGTCTTACACGTTATTTTGACAAAGGATAGGGTGTAGACTTGGGACAAAGATTAATTGTTTGTTAGTTGTACGCAGGCCAAATCAGGAGTTCTTTTTTTAAAAAATGCCTGCCAAATGAATAATCTTAGTTTTGTGCTTTGGTTTCCGTTCGTAACAGGCTTCCTGTGAAATTCTTGTCCTTTTCCCATTTTCTGGGCAGCATTTAGTAGCCTATTGAACTAATCTGTATAAAGCAATGAACACAGCTACAGCTATGTCACAGAGGGGTCACAGATTCCATGACTTCCTGTTTATTTTTAACAGGGGTTGCAGGGGTCACTGCTATCCCTCCACTTCTCACATCAGGAAACCCAAAGCTAGGGTCCACTTCATCCACTTTCAGAGCTCAACAAATCCAACTGTTGATTGCATTTTTGGATGCAAAGGAGCAAGGCGAAGTAGGGACAAAGAATGTGACGTCCCCTATTTATCAGTCTGCGGAAAACTGTTAGAGGCTTGACCTATCAACTGTCCTCACTTCTGGCACCTGGAAACATTGCTCATAAGTCTTTATTTTTAATTGGATTGTAGTAACCTCTGAACTTCTCAAGTATTTTCATAATCCTCTTCTTTCCTGGCAAGACATATTGCAAATATCTGTTGCATCTGACTCCAAGAGCAAAGGAATAAGGTCATTTTGCTAGATTTTTCAGCTTTGCTATTTGAAAATGAAAAAAGTCAGCTGCTGGATTGAAAACAAAATTAATTAAAAAGTTTAGCACTTTCCATTCTCTCAACCCCCCTCACTCCCCATTTTGCTCTTACAAATTTTGTTGTAAACTACCTCAGCTGGGGCACAGTTATCTGCTATACATTGCAGGACAGAGGATTTAGTTTTTCTTACTATACTATTTTTCAGGGAGATACATTGTATCATATATATGCATGAATACTTTTAAAAGAAAAGATCATAACAAAATAAACCAAGACTTAGCATCTTCATTTTTTCAGGCTTTATCTGTGGACAAGTGTCATAGCAAAGTCTTCCTTCTACGTCTTGCAAACATGGTATTCCATATCCACTGAGAAATTATTTCAAGAGTCCCTCATAACAGTCTTCAAAGAGTCAATAACAGGGTTCCATGTAAAGTAAAAAGCGGACATCACACTTCTGTTCGAATGTTTTCTGAGTCTCTAACACATATTCTTCCAAATTGAGCTAATGTGATGACCATCATCTCTCCTATTGGCATTTTATTTTTGATCTGGTGTCCCCCTTAACTTCTGCTACCATTAGTTAGCTCCTTTGTGAACAATAGCTGTACAGTCTATAGAAACAAGCAACATAAGCTTGATCCTGTGTACACACACATTCATGCTTAAATTTAAGCACAAGTAGTTCCATGGGAATCAATGGGAGTTCTCATGTTTGAAGATCTGCACATATTTAGGCCCTGATCCAGCAGCTAAGATCACATGACCTTAAATTCACTAGGATAACTTGCAGGCATAAAGTTACAAGTGTACAAAAATGTGTGCAGGGCCAAGGTTTTACTATGGGCCTATTCTAAAACCCATTGAAGTGAATAGCAAGATTCCCACTGACTTCAGTGACTTTGAATTAGGCCCTATGTCCTTGTTATGCTATTAGAAAAGGACATAAGATAAGACTTACTTTTGTCAGTACTTCCTTTGAAGTCAATGAATAAAGCTGGCAGGATGTGACCTAGATTTCACTTTCTAATTTTTTTTTTTAAATCTCACAGGCATTTTGTGACACCATGGAACAGCAAGTCAAATGTGGCTATTTTCAGCTGTATCTTTGATTCATTTTAATCTTGTCTGTGCTGTTATTTTACAAAATTCAACTGTCCTCACAATGAGGCCCCTTCAGAACTGTTTGGCATTTGTCTCGCCAGGGGATGTTTCTCTTTCAGTAGAAAAAGTTTGCTGTAATATTTCCTTAGCGATTAGTTTCAATTGAATGAATGGTAACATTTGCTGCCTCACTAGCACTGCAGCTTGAATTCTATATTTCAAAATTTGTAAATAGAAATTATTTTTTTCTTACAGAAGAAGATAGTATTTTTAATGAAAACCAAAACTTCTAAGGTTTCTAAAATGGCCATCCGAGCTTTCTCTCCTAAGTATACTCAATGGCCATCTAGGGTATGTCTATACAGCAGTGTTATTTTGGAATAACTTTATTTCAAAATAATATCATGTGCATCTACACAGCAAGCCATTAGTTCGAACGAATTTTGAAATGGAGGACTTCTTACTCTCACTCCTGTAACCTTCATTTCAGGAGGAGGAAGGGAAGTCAAAGAAAGAATGTTCTTCCTTCAACTTCCTGCTGTGTGGACAGCGCCAAAAGCCGAATTAAGCTATTTTGACTTCAGATATGCAATTGACATACTTGAAGTTGCGTATCTGAATTCGACTTTTGCCCTGCTGTGCAGACCTGCCCTTACAGACAAGTCCCTGTGGTTGCGTTAGTTTCTAACCCATTTGGCACATATATTGCTATCCTTCAGTAAGCAAGTCATCTGTTAAAGTCAGCTTACATTTGCTTTTTTGTAAATCTTTTCAAGCAATCTGACACTTTCAAGAGCAATAGCAGGGCATAAATGTCAGAAAGTCAATGTGAGAGCTTTGGCTGCATAGGAATGGGCCTTAAGTTTTTATCTGAAGTACATCAGTGCACAACCTTTACAGATGTTAGTTCTCACAAATGCAAAATAACAATATATCCAAAATGTGCATAAAATTTAATGTCAAATTTTAGTTGGCCCAGCTTGCAAGACTTTATGCTCAATTTGATGGCATTTCTCCGTTTATTTGGACAGAATATGGAAACTTTTGAACTCAGCATAAGTTCAATTACAAAATTTCAGGGAATGGTTTAGCTCTCAAAAGGGAGAACTGTATGGATTTTTAATTCTCTACAGATCAATAATTGATGGTATCTTCCAGCATAACTATTAGCCCTCCCCATGCCCACACTGCCCATCTTCCCAATACCATTTATGTCATGCACCGTGGCAGCATGGTAACTTATCTCCCAGTTGAGACAAATAGAAAATAAATAATAATGGTGGGGGAAGTTTGGAGAATTGTGGGAATGGGGAGGACACACACAGTGGCTGGCATGGAGGAGAAAATAGGAAATCCGGGTAGGGAATGAAGGAGAAATGGGGGCACACAAAGCCCCTGGCATGGGGAACAAAGGAGGAAGTGGGGGGTAAAGAGGGAATGGAGGATAGGTGTTTGCCTGGCCTACAAACAGCTACCAGGTGTGCACCTACCTAGTGGTGCAAGCAAGTAATTCAATTATATCAGCAAAACTACCAATGAAATTATGCACAATTGAGGGCACATTGTTCATTATAATAGACCATATCCTGCTCATCATGTACCCAAAGGCAGTCCTGTTGAAATCAATTAAACTTTGTGTAAAGCAAGCAGGATATGGCCAGTTTGTGCCTTTAATAAGTTATTTTCAGGCAAAACGGCATTACCATAAACCACCAGTAGGTGTCTTGAAGCTCAAGTCTATATGATGGGTGGGGGGGAGAGAGGGAGAGCAACTGAACATATCTTGTGTTTGACCAGTTCCATTCTACTAAACCCATGAAATCATTAGGTTTGGGGAGTTTACAGGTCATGATATAAAGCCTACATTTTTTATTTAATCCAGCCATTGTTTCAGGAAAATCATGTTCAGACGTTATGCCTCCCTCCTGTTTTTTCCAGAGTTAATTCGGAGCAATAAAATTATAGTTAAAAACTTAAAATTGCTCATCTTGATTTTTTCCAACAAGCTCTTGTTAGAATGAAGGAAAAGTGAGCACAATTTGCCCTCCAGTTTAAAGCCTTCCACAGCTGAACGGTTTCCTCCCCCCCACCTTTACTAACTGCTCGTGATCTTAAATGCACAAACAGTCGTTCTTGGCACCCAACCAACATATATAAATACATGTAATTTTTCCTTCAAAGAACCTAGAGGCTAAGCAAGAGGGCAAAGGAGTACGTGACTAAAACATCCTAACTTCCTCTTTCATAAGCTATCACATGATGCAGTGCAATTACAATTCCTGCCTTGTCTCCGCGAATCGCAGACGCATTGCCTCACCCTAGAAACCCTGTGAGTGTGTAGGCAGCAGTTGCTGCAGCCGGGTTGGAAGGAATCCAATTTCAGTCCGGAGAGAAAGGGTTGTGGGAGGAAGACAAAAACAAAAATCTGTTTACTTAGTATACATTGATAAAGCGTCTTTAGAAGGGTGGGGGGAGAGTAGCTTTAAAGGAGTTTTACACAATCTGAACGGGAGTGCTGTTGTGAAGCAGAAAACAAGATGTGTTAACCCTTTTAGCTCCCGGGGGAATTCAGGACGGGAGTGCAGTCCAAAAAAAATAGCTCTTTCATTGGCAAGCTAACCTCAGGAAGGTCACCGGGGAAGCTATGCCAATGGAGTTGCAAATATTTAAGGGATTATGAATATGAAAATAAAAGGAGCGGTCTCCTTTTATGAGCGCACATGCATGTATCCAAAGAGAGGGAGCGAGAGAACCTACATCTAAGACCGTGTTTTTGAATTTCGCTTATCGCTGACAGGGCAGTCCCAAAGATGGCAAGGTTTGCTTTGAGCAAACGTGCAAGGCGGTGTTTATGTTATCGCTGAAACAAAAGTAAGGCTCGAAGGGCGGGGAACTGCTTAACCCTTGGGGATCTGCTCTGCCGCATGTATCCAAAGAGAGGGAGCGAGAGAACCTACATCTAAGACCGTGTTTTTGAATTTCGCTTATCGCTGACAGGGCAGTCCCAAAGATGGCAAGGTTTGCTTTGAGCAAACGTGCAAGGCGGTGTTTATGTTATCGCTGAAACAAAAGTAAGGCTCGAAGGGCGGGGAACTGCTTAACCCTTGGGGATCTGCTCTGCC